GTCCCCAATCTCTACTTCATTAAGCTGTTCTTATTTTCTTCAGAACACTGACCACTATATGCAGTTACCTTCTTTATCTGCTATCTCTCCCTGACAAGCGTGTCAGTACACGAGAACAGAGCCTGTGTCTCTCTACTGTTAAACCAAGTACAGAGCAAGTATAAAATGCCTGATCCCATTTGGCAGATAAAGAAACTGAGGCTAAAAGAAATCAAGCAACTTGCCCAATGTCACAAAAGAACAGAGCCAAGGCCAGGGCTAGAATCCACGTGAGGCCAATTTCATATCCTGTGTCCTCAGTCTGCTGCACCATGCTGCCCCATGTCCGGCTGTGGAGCTTGAAAAAGATGGTCCCCATCCTGCTGAGGCAGCCCTGGCCCCCAGATTTTAATATGAGATCAAAGCTGGCACTGTCCTGGATTCTTTTGATTTCCACACATTGGCCTCTTCAATGGCTCTGAAACTTTGAGCATAAACCCAGAGATGCATTGTGACTATATTCTCTGCATCCTGAAATGAAGCGGAAAGAAATTCCAAAGGGACCCAGATGCTGCCTGAGTATGAAGGTGCCATTCTGGCTCCATCAGGAGGGCTGGGAAGATCAGCAGCTGAAACCATCGCTACAGGACAGACACTTCAGAACAAGCATCCAAAGAGCAGAAAGTGTCAGTCGTTCAGTCATGTACAACTCTCTGCAACTCCATAAACTGTAGCCCACCAGACTCTGTCCATGGGATTCTCCAGGCAAGAATACTGAAGTGGAGCCATTCCCTTCTCCAGGGGATCTTCCTGACCTTCAGATAGAACCCGCATCTCTTGCACTGCAGGTGGATTCTTTACCTGCACTGCCACCAGGAAAACCCAAAAAAGATCATTTCAAAAAGGTTTTGATCCACCTAAGAAATGAATTTCATATTTCCATTTTTTAAGCCATGCCATGAGACTTGTGGGATCTCAGTTCCCCGACCAAGGACTAAACCCAGGCCCTCAGCAGAGAGTGAGCAGAGTCCTACCCACTGGATCGCCAAGGAATTTCCTCCAATTATGTTTTTAAATAAGCTTATTTTTAATCAGCATTTCCTCAGTTCCAATTATAATTCCCTACTCCATTGGTTATCACCCTTTTTTAACCGACTCCACTAACCAATGCCCAATTATTTTCATAAAAATAGTCAATGTTGTTGTTTATAATATTGGGATAAATACATGCTAGTATATTTTAAACCCCTTATATCTGGTCACAGCACCAAAGAGGATACTCAGACATCAGCCTTCTCCACTTAGTGGTTATAATCTCCTGCTACAGAGACTAAAAACTGTTTTGCAACAACTATGAGAATTAGCAGATAACATAAACCAGCATTCATTAACCACCCACCTGTGCCAAGCCTGCACTGCTCACCTCTCCCACGGCTGCCATCTTGTTGAGCACTCGTTATGTGCCAAGCCGCTCAGAAGCATGACCTCATTTAGCACTCAGATCACTGCAGTGCCCAGGGAAAGGGCTCTCCCCATCTCACAGATGAGAAGACTGACTCTGAGATTAAGAAAGTGAAAGGCCTGACACCTGACCCAGGTCTCTGTCCGAAGTCAGGCCCCTTAACCCCTCGCTACCCTGACACTTGCAAGGGGTCTGTTTGGTGACGTTGTGAGAACACTCAGCCATGGGAATCATATGAATAGATAATAAGGTGGCGGGAGAAGGTTCCAATTTCAGATAAAAGCATCAGAACCACTCTTAGCACTTTGAGTTAGAAACAAAAGAAATGAATCACCATGCTGGGTGACGGTGCATCTACACTCTGAAGGTCTTGAAAGTCCCAAGACTTTGAGCCTCTCAGGCTAGCGTGATGGCTGGCCACCATACGGTTGTACGTTTCTTACATAAAAGTGGGCCTCATAGGCCTTTCTGGGAGTGCCCGAGGAGGGGGACCTCCCACTGAGCAGTCTCGGAAGCCAGAATCCCTGGGCTGGTGTATTCCGTAGGCGCTTGCTGGAGCCAAGCACATGTGAACACGGTGCTCCCACCAAACGGGTGATAGAGATATTACATCCAGCACAGCGCCGCTGCAGAGTGAGTGCTCAATAGAGTGCTGGGGGACTTGCTGGGGGCCCGTGGTGAGGACCCCACATTTCCAGTTCAGGGGGCCAGGGATTGACTCCTGGTCAGAGAACTAAGATCCCACACACTGCAACTAAGACCTAGCACAGCCACACACATTTTAAAAAAAGAACAACCAGAGTGCTGGCTGCCTACCCAGCATCCATCTCACCGTCCCAGGCAAGAGAACACTACTCTTATCTGGGGCAGTGACGGGCCCAGCCAAAGGCCACCTTCTCCAGCCTCCCCTGAAGCAGATGTGATCACGTGTGTCTCAGGTGTGCCAGAGGGGTGCAGGCATTGGAGACTGATGGCACCTCTGAAAAGGCAACTTAAAGGAAGCTGATCCAACTGCATGAGCTGCTTCTGCCTCTCCCCAGCTGCTCTCTCTGCTTGCCCAACACAGCACACAGGCTAATGTCCATCCACAGAGGAACAGGTAAAGAAGATATGGTACACATATACAATGGAATATTACTCAGCCATAAAAAGGGACGAAACTGGGTCATTTGTAGAGACACGTATCGACACAGAGTCTGTCATGCAGAGCACAGTAAGTCAGAAAGAGAAAAACAAATATCACATATTAACATGGAGCAGAGGCACTGCAGCTAGAGCTGCGAAGTCATTCATGTGACCGTGAAGAAGGCAGTGCACTGCTGAGGACAGTGAGCCTAAGTTTTGTCACTGTCCAGTTCCCCCAGCCACTGACCACCCTCAAATGTCCTTCATGTGACAGAGAAATAAACATCCACCCCGTATAAGCCACTTCAGGATACTTTAGGCTACCAGGTCTCAAAGGCTTCCCAGGTGGTGTGGAGTGGTAATGAACCCACCTGCCAATGCAGGAGACACAAGAGACATGGGCTTGATCCCTGGGTCAGGAAGATCCCCTGGAGGAGGAAATGGCAACCCACTCCAGTATTCTTGCCTGGAGAATTCCATGGACAGAGGGGCCTGGCCAGCTATAGTCCATGGGGTCGCCAAGAGTCGGACGGACACGACTGAAGTGATAGCACGCAGGCAGGCAAAGTCACCTGGGGTACTTGGTGAAAACATGAAGGTCCAAACCCTATGCTACCTCAAGGAGCCTGGGTCTCTGGGTGCTAGGTGACGCTGACACTCACCAAAGGTCGAGAACCACTGTTAGGCTTTCTGTACTAAGTTGCCCATTTGCTCTTACAGCTCCCTTCAAGTGTCAACCCCAACACCGACAGAGGCAGTCAAAAACAAATGTTTAACATCCAGTTTGACTTCGTTGTTGTTTAGTCACCCAGTCATGTGCAACTCTGCAACCCCAGGGGGTATAGCCCACCAGGCTCCTCTGTCCACGGGATTTTCCAGGCAAGAATACCGGAGTGGGTTGCCTTCGCTTCTGATTAAAAGCAGAGATCACACCTGAATAGGGTGACCCATCACCAAGATACTTTCCCATCCTCTCTTCCAGGATACGGCAGAAGACAGAGGGCACACTGCCTGCCAGGGGCTGCCTTGGCGTGTCCTGCTCCTTGACATGCTGCTGGGGCAGGGCATGCAAAAGCTTTCTCCTTGGAAGTTCTGCCTGAGCCTTAACAATATATTATCTAGGGTGAAACAGATCACCAGCCCAGGTGGGATGCATGAGACAAGTGCTCAGGCCTGGTGCACTGGGAAGACCCAGAGGGATCGGGTGGAGACGGAGGTGGGAGGGGGGATCGGGATGGGGGATACATGTAACTCCATGGCTGATTCATGTCAATGTATGACAAGACCCACTACAATACCATAAAGTAATTAGCCTCCAACTAATAAAAATAAATGAAAAAAAAAAAAAAAACAATACTGTCGTAGCCTTGAGTGGGGGCTCCAGCCCTTCATCTTCACTTGCCTTGAAGTAAAAATGAAAGTCACTCGGTCATGTCCAACTCTGGGATCCAATAAAATTCTCCAGGTCAGAACACTGGAGTGGGTAGCCTTTCCCTTCTCTAGGAGATCTTCCCAACCCAGGTCGAATCAGGGTCTCCTGCATTTCAGGTGGATTCTGTACCAACTGAGCTATCAGGGAAGCCTAGGTGCAAGACCCACCCTTTCTTGACTTACCCCTGATCATTGCGATTTTGTCACCAAGCTCACCCATTTTGCAAGCTCTCCTACTGAGGACTCAGACTCCACGGTCAGCATTAGGAGCCACCTCCTCCCATCAATAGGTTACTGACATGAAGTCAGTTTCTCTAAACAGAGTTTTCTGGCCACTGAGCTGTCTCTCTGCCCTGCCCAACCAGTAGACTCTTTCCCGCAAGCACAAGGGGACAGGCCTGTACTGCCTTCTTTTTTCTCAAGCACACCACTTTCCCCTCTGTGCTGACATGGTAGAGCCAAGTCAGGCATGTGCATTGTGGGAAGAGCAGTTTTCAGACCAGCATCTCAAAGAAAAAAAGTGGCCCAGACTTAGCTAGATGAAAACTTGCACAATTCTTTAAAACCCCATTTGTTGAGTTCCAATAGTAATTATAAACGCTTGACTCTTAACCATCTGACTTTTCTTAGGTTGGGTTCCTGAGACTTAGAGCAACCACCCATGTCTGCCTGCTCTGGGCAAAAGCACCTGACAAACAGGTAATGCCATTGAGGATGCCAGCTACAGAGGGGAGTCCCACAGACAAAAGAAGGCTGACATGACTCATTCACCACACCCTCCCCAACACCACAGGGTCCCAGCACCAGGTGGCCTGAGCTGGAAGACCCAAAGGCTCTAGACTGAGTCGGGGGTAAATGCAGGCCCCCAATAACCTGAAGCACCAGGGCGTGTGCTGGGCAGAGCTGAGCTGTCTACACATGTGGGGCCGAGCTCCTGGCAGAGGCGAGGAGAGCCCCCTAGTATTGCCCCGGACAGAAGCGACACGAGGGACTCACTTCATATTTATTTCTGGTGGTGAGTGGAGTTTGAAGAGCCGCCTCCTCCCCCTCGGATGGCGTGGACCGCCGTTGGAGATGATGCAGGGTAGTGTCCAGGGCGGATGGGCTTGGCTGTGTCCAACAGACAGAAAAGAGAGAAGAGACATTCAGAAAGGGCTTACACAGCTGCATCCAGATATCTCCTGGTCACAGGAAAAAACCAAGAGGCACAATCTTCTCATCAACGTCGCAATTCTTATCAGTCACCAGACTTCTCTGAAGACAGGAGGTTTGTCCTTCTATTAGCACAGTTAGCTAATCCAAGCCACCCAATATTCAGGGGACAAAAATAACATATATCAATTACTTCAATTCTGATTAATGAAAATTAGAGACAACAGACTTTCCTTCCGTTTTATCTGAGGCAGATCCATAGGTCCCAGTGAGTTTCAACAGCATCTCCCTAAAACTGGATGCAGAATTCTGTCTATGATGCATTTTTAGGGGAAGAGGGCCACAGGTTTCAGGAGATTTTCCAAGGGTATAAAAATCCAATAAACACAGTGAAGCACTAATCTATGATCTTAAAACTAGAAACAAGGAGTTGCTGGTTTCCCAAACATCTGCAGAGCAGTATCTGATAAGAAATGTTATTACATATTATTGGAGATATTGCCATCTAAGAAGAATAAAAAAATGCTCTCTAGAGAACATCCCTAAATCTCTTTTCCTCCTATGGCTCTATCCCAGGAACGATGGCTCAACAGCTACACTCTCAGTCTTCGCAGGTAGAACATCCAAATCCAGGCCTGGAAGGGGCTGTATGTCCAAACCCCATGCACTCACCGATGCCAGGCCTGGCTCTCTCCGGGGTATTTCCAAACCTGACTTACAAGAGACTCTCCCTGAGGCTTCCAGCTACATGCAGCTCCTTCATGGTTCCACCAGATGCAAACCACAAGGGGCCTGCAGGCTGAGCTGAGCAAGCCATATACTCTGGTATCTCTGGGAAAGTGTACCTCTGTTTACAGCCAAACCCCTCTGTCTGCAGCCAGGGCTGGCTGGCTTCTTTGCTCAGCTCGATAACTTTGAAGATCACCATGTCCTCTGGAATCTCAAGGAAGAGCGAGTCTAGCGATCCCATCTTCCCAGGATGGACGCCAGGTGCTTGGAGGCCCCGGCTGGCCTGCACAGACCATCTGGCCCGCGGATCCCTCACCTTTTATCAAGGGCCCGGGTGCAGACGCACGTACCAATCTGGGCAGAGTGAGCCCTCCTGGCCATGTTCTTGGCTCGCACGGCCTCCTTAATGCGGTCCACCTCCTGCTGGTAGCGCTTGCGGTCCCGCATGGCGTTCTCCTTGGCCTCCTTCAGCGCGCTCTCCAGCGCCTTCACGCGCTCAGCCGTGGCACGCAGGCGCTTCTCCAACTTGGGCAACTCACAGCGCAGGTCTGCATTGTCCCGGACCAGCTGTAGGGAAGGGAGAGGTGGGGAGTTACCGAAAGGGGAGGCAGGAGCAGCAGACCCAGTGCCGGGGGCTGAGAAGGCCACAGAGGAGCAGTTAGAACCACCACCCCCTGCCAGGTTGTTCTGAAAAGTGCCTAAGACCATAAACTCTGGGAGCACCCGAGGGGAATAAAAATCCCACATCATGAGACTCAGATTTGCCAAACACAGTATTCACAGGTTGGAGAAAGTGGAGAGGGGAGTAGGCTAGAATTAGAAGCCATTTCCAACTGTGGGAAACATTCAGGCTTGGGTGGGATTTGCTGCTTCTTTGGTTTGAGGGGTGAGGGGGAACTTGCAGGAGACAATTGACTATTCCAATGTTGGCATGTGAAAGCTAAGAAACGTGAAGCCAGCTCAGACATGCTCTATGAAAGGCATTCATGTTCTAGAGCTCTCTGAAGGCCTCCTTCAGACAGGACACATTGTCCACACCAGCACAAGGTTTGGAGTGTACCCAGGGTCTAAGTAACTCAGGAATACTGCTCATTCTTTATGATCTAAGACTCTCAATTCAGAAGGAACAGACTCATGCTAGGTTAAGGATGGGCCAAAAGCCAGTTCTGTTATTTCCTGGTCATCAGACCAGGTATGAGTCATTCAACCACTTATTAAGTCCACATACTACATAAAAGGACCATTGTGGGAATGCAAGTGGATCAGGAAAAGTTCTGAAAATCAGGAGTGCTGTATGGGTTGAACTATTGCTAGGCCACACCTGTTTTCTTTACCCCTATTCTCCCCACCCAGTCCCAGCCCCAGTGCCTGGTACAGAGTAGGTTTTTAATAAATATTCACTGAATTCATGAATAAAATAATTAATGAATATCAGGGCTCAATTTCAAGTCCCCAGCAGTTTCTGCTTTTCTGTTTGTCATCAACAGTTTGCTTGAATGACTTCAACCACGTTGAATCTGTCATCCTCCCTTTGGGCAAAAGTACCACCATCGATAACGTTGAAGAGCATGTAACAAGTCAAAGAGAAATGACGTCCCCTAGAGTATGTGGTCCATTGTAAAGCTGAACCATTCTTTTCAGATCCCAAATCTTGAGGATTTAGGGAAAGCCATCATGAACATTTCAGCATTTAAACAGAAAGGATAGGGCCAAGAGGAAGGGGACATGTGTATACCTATGGCTCATTCATGTTGATGTATGACAGAAACCAGCAGAATACTGTAAAGCAGTTCTCTTTCAATTAAAAGCAAATTTAAAAAAATAAGCAGAAAGGAGACAAATAACCTGCCTAAATCGTCAGTGGGTTTGGACATGGTTATTGCTCTCTGCCACTCTAAACAAACTCCAGGGTGTCGCAGGAACCTGAGAGGATGCCCAAGAAACAGGACAGAGCAGAGACGGGGCTGGAGCTGGCCCCAGTTCTCCCACTTGTGGGATGAAGCCAGTGGCTTCCCCTCCGAGCCTGTTTTCTCATCTCTAGAAACAGGAAGCCCGAACCAGCTCAGAGTCATCGTTTTGTGTTCCGTGGAGTCTTTGGGTCCACAGAGTGTCCTTAAAAGCATCATGGGACACACCAAGGCCAGCTGGGCTCAGAGGCTGGAAAGGGAGGCAGAATGAAAAGACACGACTGAACACCCTGCTCCCCTAACCCCAGAGAGCTCACACTCAATGCTTTATATTTGGCTTCCATCAAAGAAAGTATTTTATATACAAAGGAAGTCACTGCAGACTAAGATTTCAAGGTCCCTTCTGACACGGATGTTCTCTGGCGATGTTATAGTCCTTTCACCTTCCGTATCAGAGCTCCTCCCTCACTGAAGCCACACACAGCGAGTCTTCTTTCCAGGAGAGAAGGAGAAGCAGGGGCAAGCTGGCACAACCCTCCTACCTGTTTGTGAACCTTGGTGAGTTGCTCCAGGTTATTCTCCAGGAAGGAAATTTTCTGCTTCTGGGCAGCACTGCCTCCTCCATCATCACTGTCCAGCTCTACACTCTGCATCAACACGAGGGGTCAGCAGAATCAGCCTCCAAACTGCCCACCCTCAGCCCCAGCATCATGCGGAAGAGCCATTCTAAATATCTTTGGGAAGAAATCCCCGATCCTACTAAAGGTTTATTCTGAAAATGAAAATAGAGGTTCTAGAAGTTGAGACTCAACAGTCTTCCCAATTAATTCCCTTGATCAGTATCAAATATGCTATTTTTTACATAGCTGACCAAAAATATTGCAGTCTACTTTTGAAAGATACAAATTAGATACAGTTCTCTTTGTGAATATACCTCTCCCTTGCAGGTAGGTAAACACTTTTCTTTTCAAAAGTGTTTCAAAACTCATTAAGAAGAATTAACGGGAAAACATAAGCCCAAGACCTAAATTTGATTTCAAAACATCACAAGTGAGATAATGAGTCATCCAGCTGTGGGAAAGTGTCTGTGGTCCCGCTGGGCAGTCTCCATGGTCTCTGCTTGTCCCTTCAGCTTTCAATTACATGAAATTATTTAACAAATCCATCCCAGATCAGTCAAGGCATCTGTGTGCTGTGCTGGATTGACACTCGAAATTTATCAGATCTTGAGATTAACAAAAGCACTGTTCTCCCAACACTTCCATGCTGAGTGGCCATATAAGTTAGGAAATACATGTACAAACACATCCTGCAGTCTAAAAATGGCAAAGCATGCTTATTTTGTCTGATTACAAAAGATATCATCACTCTTTCTGAGAGGTGGTAGCCATACGAGCATTTCAAACCTGTCTCCTGGGTCTAAATCCAGGGCTCTTAAACCCAGAAGGTTTGTTAAAACTCAGATTGCTGGGCCCCACCCTAGTTTTTAGTCTGGTCCCAAGCTCTAGGGCCTTCCCTAATAGCTCAGTTGGTAAAGAATCTGCCTGCAATGCAGGAGACCCTAGTTCGATTCTGGGGTCAGGAAGATCCACTGGAGAAGGGATAGGTTACCTACTTCTGTATTCTGGCCTGGAGAATTCCATGGACTGTATAGTCCATGGGGTCGCAGAGTGTCAGACCCGACTGAGCGAGTTTCACTCACCCCAGTCTCTGAGTCAGTGGATCCAGGGAAGGATGTGAGAACCTGTACATCCAGCAAGTTCTTAGGTGATGCAAGTGCTGCTGGCCAGGTAACCACACTTTGAGAACCACTGGTCTAAGAGCAGATCCTCCCTAGAGAGTCTTACATCATGAAATCTGGTCCCAAGCTCTGCATCCTCCTTGGAATACTTCCTCCCCACAACTGAGTCTTTTCAGTTCTGATCATAATCTCTCTAAGTCTCTGTCTTCATCACCTCTGCTCTAGCCTCTCTTTACTCCCCGATCCAGGTCCTCTGACTATTTCTATGTTGATGATTGTGGTCACTACCTACCCTGCCACTCAAGCCTTGAAATCTCCCATCATTCTCCACCCTCTTTCCTTATTTTGATTTCCAGCCCTCCAAACTCACTAGAATCATGATGCCAAGTGCCAAGACAAATCCGTGCTCTGAACCTCATCTGGACACTCCCACCACTGCCCAGCACCCTTTTGCTTATCTCCAGTAAATCCCTCACAGTTGCCCGAGCCTCCTCCAGGCTCCATGGGCTCCCCATTCTCTTCCTCCTTCTCCACATTAGCTGAAGAAAGTCAGAGTCACTGAATGTATCTCTTCCCCTGTCATATATTTCCCTGCTAATGTCTGGTTTCCCCACTTCTCCTCTCTGGGAAAGTGTGTCCCTTCCATTTACCAAGACATATATACTCTTCTATGCTATCAATTCTATCCTCTCAGATCTGACCTTATCAATCACCTCCTCTTTTTTTTCCCTTAAATAATATACTTCATCTCTTTTCCCTGGCTCCTTCACACAGACCCCCAGGCACACACCTAAATACACCTCTGTCCATCCTATTACCTCTGGGTATGCTTGCTGCTCCTCATCCATCACTTTTCCAAATGTTTTCTTGCTGCTTCTCCCTCTTCCCTCCTCAGACCTCTGTTAGCTGCTCTGGGGGTTCACCATTTGGCAATTCCCCAAGATCACCACTGCATGTGGCACAAAATGCTCCACTCGGAAGTCACACCGACCTGGATTTCAGGCCTATCTCTGGTTCTCCCCAGCTCTGTGATCTCAGGACAGTGGAGCCCATTTCCACAACCGTAAAACAGAACACAAATGACCAATTACGTGGCTGCTGGGGACAGGAGGCAAGACACGGGATGTTCAAGTGCTTCATACACTCTGACCTGGCCCCTCACAGCCTCCTAACAGGAAAACAGGAGGGTCTAGCCCCGGGTGTTTCCAGGTTCCTGGCATCATTCACCAAGCTTAGGGCCATGCTGTCTATTAAGAGCCCTCTCGGTTTTCCCTGCGTCACTCAGAGGTTTTCACACTGCAATCAGATAAATACGTGTTCGTTGGAAATAAAGGCCAAGGAAAGGATGATAGCTTCCTTTCACTAAGAATGAAAAGTCAGATGGAAAAATGTTCCCAAGTATTTTTCCCTCCTCTGGCACATTCTTTTAATCACATTCTCTGGTATGAAGTAATTTTTAAGCAGGGATTTAAGCAAGTGATAATGATTTAAGCAACTGAAAATGATTCTTTCTGGCCGACTTTTTGTTTCTCCTCAACCCCATTCACACGAATTAGAACTCACTTTTTTAACCCGCGCAGTCAGATCCTGGACAAAGAGTTTACGGAGGTTATGTAGAGTCTGCAGTTCTCGAGACTGGAAGAGAAGATCGTTAAAACACCACTTAAGTGAGGGCACACAATTTATGACACCATTAGCACCAGACCATCAACCCCAGATGCCTCCACAAAGCTCTGCAAGCCGGCTGTCAGGCCATGGGGCCCTCCACTTCCTGTGACCTGCCCACCCTCATGTCCTCCCCTCCACCTGGCATGTTCCCAGGGCTACCCCAAGGTACAGAGCCTGGGAACTCAAACAAAGATATGGAAACTAGACCAAAGCCTGCTCGTTTGCTCTGTTTTAAATAGAACCTTTTTCCTCCCTTTCAACCACGAAAACTTGAAAGCTTTCTCATAAAAATTCCTAGTGAGCTATGTTATAACAGAATGGACTCTTTTTTCACTCTAATTTATTGTGCACACATTATACAAAATGCCAACAAATTTCAATGAAAAGTTAGCCGCAATTTCTCCCACCCTAGCTGACCAACATTTTTCATGTTTCCACACCCCTCTGGCCCTGGTCCGCAACATGCTTTTTTTGCTTCACATCACTGAGCTAATGGACATTCCACCTGGTGACCCTGGGCAAAGTATCTAACCTTCCTGTGCTTTCTTATTTATAACATGAGGATAAAAACAGTAGTTGCTTCATAGTTGTTGCTATCAAGATTAAATGAGATTATTCTTATAAAACTCTTACAACAGTTTCTGGCACATAGTAAGTGTTCAATAAATATTAGCTAGTATTCTTTATTGATGCATCATAGTTGGAAGCTATTTCTTCATTAGTCTTTTACTGTTTCCTTTTGTTGTTGCTATAACTTTCCTATAGTTAAGTTCTTGGGAGCATTTTTTTTTCCCCTCCACTTAGGGTTATTTTCTACTAACGAACACTTAGGAATTAGATTGCTAAGACAAAGGTGTGACTCAAACCTGGTGCCCCCTGTTAACAAAGTCAGAAAACCTAAATGTTTCCTTCCATTTAAGTCTCCATGTATTCACCACAAGACCTACAACCAGTTCTGTGAAAAATATTTTCCAATGAGGAGAGAAATACACTTGCATTTGTATTTTTCAATTTGTCAAAATTGACCTACTCTCACACAGAATGTCAAGGGATGGAACTAACAGAAGCTGAGAGAAGAAAGGACAAAACAGGCTGCTCCAAAGCCATGGAAACAATAAGTTTCTGAGAATAAAGGTTCTATGTTAATTTTAGGTCCTATTACTGGGTCCGGTTCCATAATAGTGCTGAAATAAAAAGCACCTGAAGTCAATTGCCTCCTCAGATGAGGCAAATTACTTTCTGCAGGAGGCCAGCAGGCCTGCTGTGGGAACACCGTGTGCTCGCTGCATGTCTGGGGCCAAGCCGCCAGCTGGCGGGTGTGGGGGGACAGCTCCAGGCTGTCAGTGACACGGCCACGCAGTCCGCGCCTCTGGCCCAGAGCTCAGTCCTGGCCCTCTGCTCTGCGAGCTCTCCTTCCTGCTTCAGGTGGTTGATTAATGACTGAGCTATAATCACAGAAAATACTTTCCATGAAAACCACCACCACCCCACAGGGAAACAAGAAGAGAAGACCTAGGTGCCTTGTCAAAGGGCCAGGCGATTCTTCGGGGGCAAACACCAAACAATCCAGAGTCCTGAGCTTGGCGACTTTCTCTCTTTCTTGTTTGGTTTTAGGTAACTTCTATAAACAGTTTAACACAGGCAGTTCAGAGCTTGGAGATGGCTGAGAAGCCACACATGTATGCCTAGGCAACTCCCATCTGGCTTCCTGGGGCCGTGAATTTTCCTCCATCGTGTGCATTATTGCTTCCTCCACCCTGACTGCTTTCCTTCAGGTCTCTCTCCACACGGGTGCTGCTCTCCGTGTAAAATCAGGGCTCAGCTTCCTGTCACAGCGAGGGTGGGATCAGAGCGATGGAGACACAAGCTTTACCAATGCAGAGGGAGAAGGGGTCTAGCCCCAGAGCCCACACGAAGTGTCCTGTTAAAGCCAGAGGGCTGCCTGGGGTCCCAGAGACGTCCCCACCGGCCGGCTGGCCTTTCCAAATGTTGCCCCTGGAGTGAGCTTTACAGACCTTGGTCCCTAGTGGCAGGTCCCACCCTGACCTTTTCCAGACACTTCAGGAGGCAGAGCAGCCTTGAGCTGAGGCGGGCTCAGGAAAGGTCAGCCAAAGACAGCAAGCCACCTCTGAGGAACATCGACAGCGTGGGAGGATGTAATGGAAGGATAAGCAGTAACACCCACGTCTAGCCTGGCACAGACTGCAGGGCCCCAGTGTTTGTGTGTGTGATGTATGTGTGTGTATGTGGACGGAGAGCGAGCGCTCGTGGGAGGCTGTATTGGTGGGTCTGTCCCCGTGTGAGGGACTGAGTGTCTGAGTGTGTGTGTGGTGTGGGGGCGGGGGTGGGGAATGGATTCAAGGGTAGGCATGTAGGTGTGGCAGGGAGAACCAGTGTATCTGAGGAGGCGAGTAAGGAAAATGTGTTGTTAAAAACACATTCAAGCAAATTCCCTGCTGGTCCAGTGGTTAGGACAGCATGCTTCCATTGCAGGGGGCACAGGTTCGATCCTTGGTCAGGGAACTAAGATTCCACAAGCTGAGCGCACGCGCACACACACCCAAAAAAAAAGAGAAAAAAAGAAATGTACTCAACAGAGCAAAATAACATGCTCACAAGTAAGTATACAAGAGAGAAATCTTGTGAGTCTGTGAGAGAGAGTACGTGGAGTGAGTGTCTGTGAGTGGACGTGAGGGAGGCTGCGAGCGTGAGTGAGCAGAAGTGAGAGTATGCCAGTGAGAATGTGTGGATGGCCACAGGTGACTGTGCATGTGTGTGTCAGCATGTGACGGGGATGTGCTGAGTGTGTAAGAGCTTGCGAGTGGGTGAATACAGGCATGAGGCCGTGAGAGTGGGGACCTGCAGGTGTGAGTGTGTGTGAAGACGGGTGAGTGAGAGAGAACACGCGATTGTGCCCACGTGTGGGTGAGACCGTGAGAGGGAGCAAGGTAAATAGTGAGTTTCTGGGTGTGAGCGTGAAAAGTGTGCTACGTGACAGACTGTGAGAGAGAGTGCATGAGCATAAAGGAAGATACAGAAATATTGACCTCCAGCTGGTGGGAGTATAGGAACATGTTAACGGTCAATATTTTTCTGAATTGTTATAAACTATCTATGATTATGAGTATCACTTTCTCCAGGAAAACAGACACAGATAAAGCAACTTCATGGCTTCATTTCAGTTTCCCCTCCAGCCGCTCTGTCCACTGTCTTCTCCACCAGGCTCAAGAGGCCCAGCTTCTCTCAACGGTCATTCTACTTCTGTCCTGAACGGCCTGTGCCCTTTGAGCCCCCATCCGGCCTTGAGGAGTAGCCAACTCTCACCCAGGGGCCCAAGCACAGCCTCAGGTCCAGCCCTGATCAACCACCTGCTCCCAGTCTGGGGTCACCGAATTCCTGGACTCAGGTTCAGTCCCACAATAGTTCACATGACGTACGGATGGAACCAGTATGCTTGCCTGTATCTAAACAACATGTCATGTGCAAGGACTGGATATGTTTTCACCAGATTTAGAGACTACGTCGGGATGTCCGTCTTCAAACACAGGCTGTACGGCACTCTGAAGGGCTCCTGAGAGCCCTCACATCAGGCAGCCATCCCCAAGGGCAAATAAAACAGCAACAGACCAGGAGACAAACCAATGAATTCAGATGTAGGGCAGAGCAGATCAACCAGGCTATCACACGGTGAGCCCTTCTTCCAAAGGGGAGTGGACCTGCCGCTCCTCTACCACAAACCCTGCAGGTCTCAAGGACGAATCTGGCCTGGCTCCCCTTCTGTCTCGACCTCTCTGTGCCCACCTCCTACCCCGCCTCTCCTCTTGGCCACAGACAATCTCCCTGCTGTTCCCCAAATGCGGGTCATGGGCTGACCTCAGGGCCTTGGCACAGGCTCCTCCTCCAGATATCCCCACGGCTCCTTCATTTTCCTATTTAAGTTCCTGCTCAAATGTTACTTCCCAGGGGGGCCTCCCCCAGCCAGTATCCTGTGCCCCTTCTATAACCACCTAATGGAGACCACGACCTACTTCCTTATTGTTCGCTGTCTGTCTTTCCCAAGTGAAGGACAGCTTCACAAGGGCCACCCTCTTCTCCCTGTTGTGTACTGATGCAACCCAAGCACCTAAAAGAACAGTCCTTAGCAGGTGCTCAACAAATATCCACTGATTGTTGAACGGAAGTAAGCACAATGTGCAGAGGTGGCAAAACTGCAGACATTGTTTTGAGTTTAAATCTCATCAGGACTCCAGGGTTACACTCCTAAGGATGGTTGGATGGTTAGTCACTGTGTCAAGACCTGGGGAATAAATTCTACAGCTCTCATGTTTCCATACGAAGTTTTCTGTTTAAAATGATACTCAAGAAAGGCATGCACAGATAAAATTTTAGAAGAAACAAATTCAAAAGATCATAAATGAATCTGGTCTTTGAGACTAAAATGAGTTAGGAAACACATCAACATACCACTGTCTCCTCCAGCCCTTTGAGGTCCTCTCTGGCTTGCTCCCTTTTATCATTGAGCAATCTGAAAAACAGAAAGGAACCATGAACCACCAAAGGGGCATCAGAGATTCTCACAGACACCATGCATCTGCAGATAAATCAACAAAACAAACCAACTCACCAACTCAGGGTCTGTTTTTAAATTGGCCCGACCTAACCTGAATATCTTGGTACCTGAATCACCAGTGTGGACTGGTGGAGATTTCATGGGGATGAGAGAAAACAGAGGAAATATTTAAAGCATACTCACAAGAGCTTTTCCAGTTTCATTTCTCTCTCTTGGTCCTCTATTTTCAGCTTGTTATAATCAGAACTGAGCTTCTCCTGTTCTAGTTGCAGTTTCTGATTCAAACTGAAATGAGAGGAAACAGCAACTCATTCCACACCACCCTGAGATTCTGAGTCATGCAACTGAAGACAAGATTCTGTTCCAAGCCCATTAGCTCTGTGCAATAAAGGCGGCAATTCTGGAGGACTCTGAGAGATCAGAGAACAACCTCACAGCTTCCTCCCTGCCCGAGTGAAAACTAATTTCTGGGAACATCTAAGAGGCATGAAACATAAGGCTTTAAGAATGTATTTATAGCTGGCTTATGCAAGAGCTCTGGAAGGGAAAAAAAAATGAGATGGGAAAGGGGCCGATATTTTAAAACAGGAAGAGAGAGTCCAGTAAGAATTCTTTTTCTGCCCCACAGATGGTACGCATGCACTCCTGGAACCTTATCTGGCCACTCTGACCTTCCCTTCCTCTCTGGTCCCATGTTCTGAAAACATCTCCCAAGTCCAACTCCCTGGCTGACATAGGGACCATTCTGCTCTGTGAGGTCTTCGGGTCGGGGAGGAGGGGAAAGCGGGGGCAGTGGTCAGAGAGAGGAAACACAAAGAAAGTCTGGGCTGCTACAAAAAAGAAACTCACCACCCGGATAGGAGCACTGGGTCATTTTATGTACCCCAGTCCTTGCCAGGTAGTGCTACTGGTAAAGAATCCACCTGCCAATGCAGGAGATATAAGAGGCGCAGGCTTGATCCCTAGGTCAGGGAGATCTCCTGGAGGAGGGCACGGCAACCCACTCCAGTACTCTTGCCTGAAGAATCCCATGGACAGAGGAGCCTGGTGGGCTACAGTCCATAGGGTTTCAAAGAGTTGGACACCATTTAGCACATGTGCTGTCCTCATAAAACCTTTTGTATTCCCATGCCCACCTGACCATACTGAATAGCTTACACACTATCTGAAGGAAAACCCAGAGGCCAGATGAAAGGCACAGGCCAAGGAAACTCCCCCCACCTGTCAACTCATTCAGAGACCCTCCATCTCTCTCACCTCCATTCCCTCCCTTCCCACTCCTCCCAGCTGAATGATTTGTGGGTGATTCATCAGCATAACAAACAAAAGCCATGCTTAAAGGCGAAAGCACAACCTGAAAGGGAGCATGGGGTGGCCCCAAAGGGGAGAGATGATGCTAAGGGCTTTCCTAGGTAGACTGTGCACAGAGCCTACCCGTGGCATCATTTACACTTTTGCTTTAAAAATGCAAATATGCGGTACAAGCAAAGAGATTTGGATCAGTAGTCTGGAGAATAACTCCAACTCCAGTTTGATTCCTATTTAACAGTATGACCTTAAGGAAATCATTTAGCTTTGATTCTGTATAGAAATCTTATTTCTTCATCTATAGAAACAGAAAGGAGAGAACCTTTAGTCTAGACTGGGGTGGGGGACATGGGGGTGTGGAATGAACTGTATTTCAATATATTTCAACATAACTGGTTTTGTTTTCCTCTTTTATTTGGGACATGTAAACACATTGTTCTGCAAAGGCACTCACTGTGCAAAAATGTTAAGAATCCTCAGGAGAGGAGCCTAAAGGTGCCTCCCAGCCTGGGGACTTGTGTTGATGATGTGGGAAGGTGAGAGGAGTGGGGGGGGGGGGGTCATTAATGAGCAGGGGGGCCGTTCAGCAGCAGCTGCAACAGAAGAATGGCCTTGAGAAGGTGTCACTGGAGCCCAGCTGCAATGAGGCCCTCGAGCACAGACAGGCACCCAACAGCGTGGGTCCCTAAGAGCCCACGTGTATGACCAGGTGGCTCCAAGTTGTGCAGACGCGGGCACGTGTTGGGCGAGGAGGCAGCAGGAGCCAACTGTCTCCTCTGGAGCATTTATTAACCCAGCAGGTTTTTTCACACTCTCATAGGAACGCATCCCCACCTACAGGGGCACATGTCTGTCCACGTGAGTCACCAATGTGTCCTGCTCTGCAGGGCACCAGGCAGGGCAGCTGGGCCAACCTGCTACCTGCCCACCAGAGCCCCCAGAGGTTGGACTCCAGATGGGGCCTGGGGAACAGACCTCAGAAGCATCACAACCCAGCTCCCTGTGACACCAGGGCGGAGCCCAGGACCCACAGGGCAGGAAGAACAGAGACCCGAGCTAGACGCTACGTCCCTCTAGGCTGGCACAGGGCCTGTGCCCGCCCCCATGCCCTGCAAGTCCCCCGGGGCAACTCACTCCCGAATCTCATCGATGATTTTCTGCTTCTCCTCGATTTCATCCCGGAGTCTGGACAGCTGCTTCTGATGAGCTTCCCGGTGACTCTCCATCTGCTGCTCCAGTGCCTTCTGCAGCCCAGGCCAAGGGAAATGTGTCAGCCGCTGTTGGCTCTCGGCCCGCTCTGTGCCAAGACTGGGGCGCTACCTCCTATCCTACCGCCCTCAGCTGTCAGATCCCCACACCAGGGCCCAGGACCTACCCTGCTTTATAGGGACAACCATATCCAAGGATCTGTTAGAAAACTGAGTAGTTCCCATGGGCAAATGACCACATTTCATGAGGAAAGGGTTTGCCTCTGACTTTCCATAGCTCACCTAAGCCACATAGCTTCTCTCACCAGGTCACCCTGAGGTCACTGACCTCTTACTACCTGGTTGACCTCAGGCCATGGCACCTCTCGGGGCTGTACTTCCCCACCAGTAAAATGTCAATAATCTCCCAGCCCTGTCCACTGCAGGGATTTATGATGATGCTCCAAGCAGACCTTTCCACCAAAGTGACGTGAACCTAGGAGAGGCCCAACCAGGTGAGGCAGGCTTGTTGGCTGAACAGTGTCATGCACGGCATCACTTTAACTATGGGACTCATACCCAGAGGAGCGTGGGGTTTCTCTAAAACTATTCCAGGTGGCTCTAGTGGTAAAGAGTGCACCTGCCCATGGAGGAGACACAAGAAACGAGGGATCAATCCCTGGGTCGGAAAGATCCCCTGGAGAAGGAATTGGCAACCCACTCCAGTATTCTTGCCTGGAAAATCCCATGGGCAGAGGAGCCTGCCTGGCAGGCTATAGTCCATGGGGTCGCAAAGAGTTGGACATGACTGAGGAACTAAGCATGTGCATGCATGCACACACACACATAATCAAAAGTTCTATATTTTCTCCTATTTCATTTATCCACCTAAAACCCCTATTTCCCAATCTTCTTCCCCACATTTCCATTTCTGTTTAAAATATGACCAAAATAAACACCCCTGTGTTTGAGATGTAAATTCAAATTGGGGGTATTTCTTTAAAAGATAGAGGGGAGGTGCTTCCTTCCATTCAAAAGAGGGGTGACCGTTTCTGCAGAGGCTGTGACAAGCAGCCAGCACGGCTACTGGAAGGTGCACTGTCTCCCTCCTGCTCGTGAGCGGGAAGAGAAATGTACTGATGCAACGTAACTATTGTCTGCAGATATCTCAGCGGGCTTGGACACCTGCATGTCCATCTCACTTCTAAGTCCAGCCGCCCTCTGAGAGCAGCTCTGATGCCCAGCCCCAGTCCCGCCCCCCTCCTTCCTACCTCACCTCACACATCTCGGAAAGGAGCTGGATTTTCCCAGATGAAGAAAATCCAGTCCCAGGGTGTGTGGGGCTCCGCTGCATACACACCTTCATTTCCTCAGCATCCTGAAGCCGGGTCAGATGCTCCTTTTCCTTATCCTGGAAACTGACTTCGTGCATTTTTTCTGTTTTGAATTTTAAAGGATGATGTAAAAGATTTAAACGGCAGGATTCCCATCCAAAAGTAAAAATTAAAAAAAAACCACAACAGAAAGGAATATAGTGAAACATCAGCTTATCTCACCAAGTTACCACCGTGGAATAAAGGAACATGCCTCTGAAGGAGGACTTCTTGAATGTCACTCTCAGACACCCTCCACACCTCAGGACTTCCAGCTTGTTAAATCAAGGCTGATCTCTCCGGGGAGACTGTGGAAGTACTCCAGGGAGAATGGCGATTAGAGGGGACATGTGAACCTGGAGCGGCCATGCTGGACCTGACGGGGCTGCCACTCCATGCCCTCAGAGGACTGCTCCCCACCAGGCCTGGTGAGCCACTCCTGCCAGTGTGCATAAATGTGCATGGTCACTGACAACGCTCTCTGCAAATATTAGTGGTATTTGGATTCCTGCCAATATTAGAGTTTCGGAAAGAGCTAATTTACCTCCCATGGGTATTCTCTAAGAATCTGGAGCAGGAAAATAATCTAGGGACAAGCACAAAGAAAACAGAAACATAAAATAACTCTCTCCAGACTAAGCAGGAAGCCCACGCTGTGCTGGCGGCACAGTGCTATGGGACACGCCTCTGGGGAGGGGGCACCAGCCCTACCCTCCTCTTGGTCAGGGGTCTCGCTGAGCCCCACGGACCATGGGCAGCCTCAGGTGGAGGGACCAAAAGGGTTTCCGACAGTGACATTCAAGTCATTAAGTATTCTCTCCATTCTGTTTCACTTTATTTCGGTGTCAACTACAAACTGGCACTTGCCAAGGGCATTTGCCATCTGCCTCTGCGGAGACTGAACTCTGTGTTGCTGCAGCTGTTGACCTTCGACACGCCCTGAAGGGAGCTCAGGGTGGAGAAATGAGGCATCTTGTGCTCCAGGGAAACTAGTGGAACAGGTCTTTAGATATTTTCAGGAACTGATTTCATGAATCCCAATCTGTGCATCTCCTCATACCTAGAAAAGCACTAAATCTCTTGACGGTGAAATTTAGCTCCTCATGGCTAGCAGAAAACCTTATGTAAGGTAAGTGCCTGATGGTGTGAACTCCCCCTTCACCAAAATCATATATATTGACCTTCCCACACTACCTTCTTGGAGCACTTTCTCAGAGCTACCTGAGGTGCTATCTGCTGGGCTGCAGTCCTCATTTTGCCCCCAAATAAAACTTAACTCGAAACTTTCACATTATGCATCTTTTTTAGTGGACATCAGCGCTTTGATTTTATTTCCACTCAGTGGCACCACTGCAGAAGCCACTGACCAGAGGGAAAGCTTCTTTTCCATGTCAACTTTTGGGTAGAGCATTCTATTCCCAACATCCCTTATCTCATAAAGAAAACCTTACAAAGTCATAGCGGGGGTGGGTGTGTTCTCTTTTGTTAATTTAAGTTGTCATTTGAAGCAAAATGTATTTACTGAGCAAACAGACAATACAACAATAAATAAAAAAGGATAACATCGTCACCAATCCTGTTACCCTACTAAAACCATGTCCCCTTCAAATATTAATTTTATAGGCCTTCAAATTTAAGTATCCATTGATTTTTAAATGTTATAACCACAGTAAAGATAATATTATATATTATGATGTTTAATCTAATGCACTGTAAACACTGTTGATTGGTCTTCATGTATTTCATCTCCAAGATGAAAAAAAAAACCTATTCTTTTAAATCACATACCATAGTTCATTTAACTGTTAGACATTTAGGTGATTTCTTTTTTTTCCACTAATTTATAAGCAATGAATTCTTGAGAATTCTGCAACAAATATTTGAGATTTGAGGAGCAAAAGGTATAAAAAGTGTTAGAATGATTAATATGTATTTTCAAAATTCTTCCCAAAGGGATTTTACCAGTTTTCTTTGCAACTCATAAGATCTGTGTGCTCCTGTTTCACCACAACACATACATCATTAATCCTGTCCTGGTTTCTACATTTCCAGTCATTTCTCTTTGAATCTCTTCTATTTACTCATATTTATTGAGTGCTTTCTCTGTGCTGAGCACATTCTTTCACAAAGGGGTCAGGAGACTGCCTGGAAAAGGCAGAGTTTGCTCAAAGGATGCAAGATACAGGGGAACCATGGCTGCAAGTTCAGACTTGATATTTAGAGCAACGGGACAGCATGGAAAAGTCGGAGGTCTGGGGCCTGACACAAGGTAGGACTTGATTTTGGAATCCTCCCTTGGGATACAGCACAGTGGTCAGCCTTGAACATGCCAGGGTTTAATTAGTGACAATGAAGCTGGAGATGAACAGAACCAGAGAAGCATCTGGCCGGCTGAATGTACAGGACTTGGTGACAGGAAGTGAAGAAGGGAGAGGATTCAGACTTGGGCAGCAGGGTGGACTTGAGGGAAAATGCAAAGACAGGCAGATATGGGGTGGGGGCAGTCCTCTAGATGGTTCTCTACCCCCTACCCCACTCCAATTACGCCACTGTTTTCAGTAGACACACACATGCTTTAACTGAGCAAAATTAAACATCAAGAGTCCAGCCAACTACATCATGTCTGATTCAGGCTAACCGCTGGACACCTGCAAAGTGGCCGGCTGCTCACCTTGGGCTCGGAGCTTGGCCAGCTCTTCACTGAGCGAGTCCTGGGACTCTTCAAGCTGTCTCCGCTTCTGTTCCATGTTCTGCATGTAGTCAGTCAGGGATTTGATCTTGGCTTCGTGCTTGAAACAAGCAAACACAAAGGCGGCTGTGAGTGACTAGCAAGTGATTACCCTGGCTTGCCCAGGACCGTCCAACAGGAAAATGCAACAGAGGAGGAGTTCTTGACTCCTCTGTTTGAGTCCCAACAGCCAAGTGCCTATTCTGCCCGAGGCTTGGGATCTGGGATCACAGACTAAGACAGTCCTCTTTTTCCCATGTGCTTCTCTGCCTCATTCCCCTGCTCACGGCCTTCCTTACCATGCCCTTCCTTAACATCTATTAAACTAAAATACCAAAGCCCAAGCTGGTTTTCCTCTTTGTAAAAAACAGAGTCTGCTGGAAAGAAAGGGGCTGGAAAAGTGTCACAGCTGCAGGCTTCATTCTTTGAACCCATACCTTTGGATTTCTTCTTTGGAACTCAAGTATTATGTCTTTACACTTTCTGCCTTTCAAGCACAACAATTCCTATTTCAGAGACTTTGCGTTTCCATTTTCCTCTCCCAAGGAAGCTCTCCCCAACACCCTGCCAGACATGGGCCTGGCTGGATCCTTCTAACTTGGGCCCCAACATTTTCTTACAGCACCTAACATCTATTGATTCATCTATTTTTTTTCTACTTGTTAGCTCCATGAAAGCATAGTTAATAGATAATAATGGAGTGAAGGAATGAATGAATGAATGAATGAATGAATGAGAGCTTGTAACTGAACAGGAACAGCAGTCACCTCGAGGCAGATGGAAATATGCAGACGCCTCCTCCCCCGTATCTACATGGATCATATTTAGCCAGGAGGACCCTGGAGATGGAGCTCGAATGTAATGAAATAACCTCTGGGAAATGGGACTTTGCTGGAGCAGGTATTTTATAAGCATAGCTTTTGGTGACAAGGATGAGTATAAACAAAGGAGATAATAGCATTTTAGCTGGAAATATTTTGTCAGGCTCCTTAGATCACGTCAGAAAATAAAGAAACACGGTTTTTCTTACTTTTGAACCCCAGGTAATGACGACTAAATCTTTGGTTTTGTGTAAATTGTGACAGAGTACAAAATAGCACCTAAGGGAAAACTGTATTTGCTGCTAATGCAGAAAGCACTGTCAAACCAACACGGTTATTCTTTAACCCCAAACCATCCTAATATTCTTGACTCCAATCTCATACACCCGGAGTGTGTGTCACTCTGAAGATCTGGGCAACTGGGGCCCCAGTCCTGGGCCTGACGCTTTAGAAGCATCCTACTTGGGCAGTCCTCTGGCTGTACCCCAGACTACCGAGCCAAGGGAGCGTGCCCACCGGGAACCCACATCCTCTTCTAGATCACAGTGAGTCTGGAAAACTAGAAACTCCTTACTCTAGTGACCCTAAGGTCACCCCCAGGAGCAGCAATGCAGCTTCCACCATCCACTTACATAGATTACAGCTGACACAGTTGCACAGCTCCATCAGCTCACAGAACACACGGAAGGGGCCTGACTTGGACAGGGAGGCTGATGTGTCCAGATGGAAGGAAAGATAGTGGGCTTTGGGCCGCGGGGCCTCTGTCTGTGCACTTGCGTTGGCCTTCAAATGTTAGGGACAGAGTGCTTCAGAAGCACATGCTCTCAGAGTAACAGGTGACCTGGAAATCAGACCTGAAGTGTACTATGCCCTAATGTTTATCATTTTTCTTCTCAATTTTCATAAATTATAAAAATGCCAAAGAGTCCAGCGAATCCAGAAAAAGTAGTAGAAATGTCACCCATAAACCACGCTATCAGGTATTTTCCCTCTATATTCCTGGTCTTATCTATACAAATGCATATTTTACCAAGTTGCAAGGTATAGCATAGATCTGTCACTTGGCATTTCCATTTTTATTTAACTTTATATAATTATACTTTCCAAATGACTAGGTTTCATACATTTTTGGTAAGAGCTGCATAATATCCTTCCATGTAACTTTATGTTATTAGTCTCTCAATAAATAGTTGCCTATTTTATTTTATTAAAATGAAAGTAATACTTCAATCAACATCTTCCATGTAAGTGGTAATATTTTAAATCAGGGAATGATAATACCATATGAAATGAAAAATTTTCACTTTCATTAACAATGAAAAATGCTATAAGTGGAGTTACTGGCCAAAGTATACTTACACTTTTATGGGTTTTAATTCCCAAGGTGCTTTCCAAAGGGACTGACCAAATTATACTTTTCTCAACAACGTATATAAATTTCAGTATTACACACTAGCACCGACTAATCTCTTAAACACTTCTTTGCTTACTATGTTATTTATAAAATGGAAACTTGATGCTTTAATTTGCATCTCTTAGATGATTACAGTAGGAGACGAGGCTGGAGATGGTTGTATGAAGACACATTCCTATGTTTAAAAGCATACCGGATGAAGTATGCTTTCGTCTGTTTCTCAGCACTGTCAGATGTGCCATTACATGCTGGTATCTGCTCTCCCCAAATAACTTTAGCTATTTTAATGCCTGGGCTGAGGCAGTGAGCAGCACACTCTCGACCACTCACAGAAGCCGCAAACCCAAACACCAGCCTCAGGTACAGTGGCAGACCAGAAACGAGGCTGCTGTTTTCTGAAACCACCATGCTAAAATGAAAATGCTTTCTAACGGACAGAAGAGTACCTTATCACTGGGGCTTGAAAATCCCTTCAAGGCTTTGAGTTCCCACACAAAAGTTTGAGTTCCAGCTCTGCCTTTCACTGGCTATGTGAGTCTGGACAGTATATTTAATCTTTCAAGTCTCATTCTCCTTATCTAAAAAGCAAGGACAATCATAACACCTGCCTATCAGAATTTTTCTAAAGATCAAGTGAGAGAATGCGTGTAAAGTGCTTAACACAGTATATAGTACACTGTAAGCACTCAGTAAAATGTTTCCTGCTACTGCTACTAGTAATAGTAGTAGCGGTAGTGGTGGCGGTTTCTGTTGTCCCATATTAAACTGGATCTGTCGTAGAGATTAAAAGATCAAAGAATGCTGCCTTAGCTGAGAGGTGTTTTAGATGCCACCCAATCTTTTCCACTTTTCCAGGGAAGCCTGGCATGCAGCAGTCCATGGGGTAGCAAAGAGTCAGATACGACTGAGCCACTGAATTGAACTGAATCTTTTCCACTCATTATACATCACTATCTATCCTACCTACCTACCTACTTATTTATAAATAGCTAGATAAAGATATGTAGACATATCCCTTAAAAAAAAGACCGAAGGTAATTCATGTAATTTGTACAACTAAACCTAGCCTTAAGAATAAGCCTGGCCGGTCGCTGCCTGGGAGGTCATGGACAAGTCCATCAGTTGTCCCTATTAGGCACCATCAGCCTCAGTAAGCACGTGGAGGAAACAGATTTCCAGAGCACAAGCGTGTGACGTGAGGAACAAAGGGGTGGCCTACCTGGGAGATGAGCAACTGGCATGCTGCCAGCTCCCGCTCACTGGCATTCATCTTCCTGTTGGAGTCCATCTGGGCGCTCTCGAGCTGTTTGCTGCGGTTCACCAGAGACTTGACCTCTGACTTCATCTTGCTGATGTACAGCCGGGCCATGGTGAATTCCTCTTCAATGACTCCGTTCACATCTGCCAACTGAGCACAGGCGGGAACCACTCAATGACGCCTACGATCGCCAGAGGTTCACAGGGCCCTGAAAGCCGTCCATGGGGATGTCTGTGGATTTCTGGGTTAGGAATCCCTAATCGCAGGACCACAAGCTGAGAACCACAAGTCGAACTATAGGTTCAACCCCAAGTTCTCTGAAACCTTGGATAAAACTTCCAATAAAACACCTCAACTAACATAATCTTCAATTAACCAGGTTTTTCATTGCAATTGATTTTCTAGAATGAAAGAGGAGATATCAGTAGAAAAAGATATTGAAATTTTAAAAAGAGATAACTCCGAAGAGGTGTTCCTTACTTTTCTGGAAGGGCAGCAAAACCCAGTGTTCCTAAAGGTGATCCTGAGTCCCAAAAGAAATCATTCAAAACTTCAATTATGCTCTCTACAGTCTGCTATCCAGAGAAACAAGCAGTCTAAGAACTTGAACATGTTTCTATAAGCAAAGGCTGAAATACAGAGGATTTTTTATATAGTTCTCAATTAAAGAATCTAATGAACAAGAACGTGCTATCACCAGAAATACCTCTGGATGAAAGTTGTCCTGCATAACTTCTTATTACGACCAATGTTTCCTTGCCCCTACATACCTGCCTCTTCCAAGCACACAGCAATCTCGCTTAGTTAAGATCACCTGAGAATAACAGTCTAAATTCACCTTTAGAAGAAGAGACTCTGACAACCAGAATCCTTGCACCATCTCATATTTGTTGTCTAATTTTCAGAGCTCTACAGGATACAAATAATGGAGCAAGATACAGCCCATTTGCTGAGATGGCAGAGAGGGCCTTGAGGAGCAAAGTAACTGCAAATATTTTGTTTAACCACCAGAGGGCATCCTAGCACCTCAGGAGAAAACAAGAGCCCTCTCCAGTACCCATCCCATGAACAGAGGCTTCAGTTATTCTAAGACAGTCATTCCAACTCTGTTTTTTGATGTTTCACAATACACTCCATCTGCCCACTTTTGTCATTATTGTTGTCATTAACTCATCGTATGACTATTTTTTTCAGTAAACATTGCCAGGAACACGGAGTGGTCTATCAACCCTGAAAATTGGCAGCAGGTAAAAAGTACACTGGACAGAGATGAGTGCCTGTAACCTGGTGTCAACCTTCCCTAAAAATTCCCCGACAATGTTGTCAAATGTCTCAGGGTCAATCAACACAATTCAGAGCCCAGGTTCACAGCAAGAAAATCCACAAGTACCAACATCTGACTCCATCTTACTTGAACAGAAGTGAAAGTGAAAGTCGCTCAGTCATGTCCAACTCTCTGCGACCCCATGGACAATACAGTCCACAGAATTTTCCAGGCCAGAATACTGGAGTGGGTAGCCATTCCCTTCTCCAGGGGATCTTCCCAACCCAGGAATCAAACCCAGGTCTCCTGCATTGCAGGCGGATTCTTTACCAGCTAAGCCCCCAGGGAAGCCCCTTACTTTAACAGAGGTTCTTACTAATCAGTTACGTTTCTGACTGCCAGCGATTTGCCTACCAATGCCACTCATTACACTCCTTTCATAATCCAGTATCATGGAGATAACAGATGAGAAAACCCCACAATCTTTAAATTCAGTTTTATCCTTCTGTCTTGGTGATCAGTCCAACATGGTACAGATTCATTCTTTAGCCTGACCAAGTGTACCCTGCGTATTGTTTCTCTGTACAAATGTAAGGGGACATTCATCTCTTTTGTGTGGAATTCACAACCTATACCAGCTCCTGGGGGGAGAACATGGCTGAACCGAGTTAGGGTGTCGCAGGAAGGGAACAAACAAGTACTCTCTAAGACATTCTATAGCTGAGGGCACATTGTGTTCTACGCCCAAGTGACATCTGAATTGGAGATGAGTAGAAAAAAAAAAAACTATAATGGGCATTCTTCAAAGTTAGAACTGGGTATTTCTTCCCTCAAACCAGAACCATAACTTCTGAAGCCTATACTTATTCCAGGAGGTCAAAAAGGAGATTTTGAATCATTAGATTTTTAATTTTTTTCCCTAATGGGAAAAAAAAAAAACAGTACTCCAAACAAATATTAACCGCAAGGTTTCTTACCACTTACGAGCTCATGTATATAGTCATGTAAGTTCGGAGTTTTCAGTAATTCCAGTATACTGTTATTTTAAAAAGAAGAATCAGAGTTTGCTGCTGTAGGATTATTTAGTAACTCTCCTCTGGGTCTGACAGTGACTGAAACGTATGTACTAGACCATGAGGCCCAGTGTGGATGACTAATTCAGAAGAGACTGCCTCCCCTTCCATCTTGCCTGTACTGGAATCACCCCCTCCCACGTCTCTAGAGCATACAGCAGTCATCCGAGGTGCCATTTCTAGGCCAAGTAAAAGGTAAGGGAAGTGACTGTTCACATTCTAAGACCTAAAAAGTCATTTGTTGTTGCTGTTTAGTTACTCAGTTGTGTCCAGCTCTTTTGTGACCTCATGGACTGCAGCCCGTCTGGCTCCTCTGTCCATGGGATTCTTCAGGCAAGAATACAGGAGTGGGTTGCAATTTCCTTCTCCAGAGGATCTTCCCAACTCAGGGATCGAACCCCCGTCTCCTGTGTCTCCTGCATTGCAGGGAGATTCTTTTACTGCTTGAGCCACCAAAGCCCTACAGTCATAACGGGACTTAAAAAATCCTTATTAAAAAAGGCATCTAGAAATGTCAGTTTTATTTACAAGTGCAGCACAGAGCCAAGGTATGATAAAGTTGCTTCCAAGAGGTTGAGGAGCAGGAGGGGAATGAAGAAGCAAGCCCTCTTGGAGGTGAGGAGCCCAGCCACCATTCTGCGGGGACTGGAACTCACACCCTAGCCCCAGCAGAGCCCAGGCTGTGCTGAAGAATTTGATGAGACAGGAGCTATCAGTGATGAGGGCTGGCTTCAGGCCCAGGATCCAGAACAGTTTTATCTGCATCTCTGGCCCAGCCACAGCCAGGTCCCTCGTGGAGGTGGGCCCGGGGTCTCTGTCACCTGCTTGAACTTCTTCACCTCCACCTCAGCTAGACCTGAAGTTGGAGGAAAACTCGGCAGCTAATCCGATCCATTTCGTTTATTCAACCTCAACTTGTTATTCTGCTTGTGGCTAGAAATCTAGAAATCTCTGCCTTAAAGAAAGACCGGTGACATTGGAACATGAAAAGAAGAGGCTCACTAATAAACCTGGATAAAGTCAACACCAGGCTCATCTCGTCATTTGATGCTCTCATCTCGTTTTGTTGACTTAAGTATTGCCTGGACTCTGAAAATGCCCCCAGACATGACTGAGCTGGAGAAATATGAGTTCTTCTGTTTCTTTGCTGTTCAGGCCTGCTGTATCTTAGAACTGAGGGCTGAGAAAGACTCAAGCAGCCATCTTTCCCTCTCGCCCCAGAACACCACCATGGGGGCTGAGTAGGATTTTTAGGAATAAAAACACAAGATCACCAAAAAACATTTCCTTGATCTCAGTTTTTAGATCAAAAGAATTATATCAACTGAATACTCATCGCCAATAAGAAAAGTATCTGTACCCACAGTGATAGATCTAAGAAACATATGCATAACTCATGCAATTCCTGGGCTGACCATCTTCAAGATAATCTGGACTCATCTCATCATTTTATAAATTAGGAATATGAAACCCAGATAGATAGAGTAACTTGCCCAAAGTCACATAATTACTCCTCTTTAATGCTCATTGCCATGATGAATTTTTTCCTTACAATTACTAACTAAATCATAATTGTAAGGAAAAAAGCAGAATGATTAAGAATATGATGCTATCTAAGTGAGAGTTATCAATGAAATTAACTAGCTATCAATGAAATTAACTAGGGCATCCAATGTCTGGAATTCAAAAATATCTTAAAAATATTCAAAGTACTTAAAAATAACCTCAATCATACTTCATATTCCCAAAGGTAAGGACTCTTTTTTTTTTAATTCCAAAGCACCCAGACACTCCTTGATTTCATTAGCATTTTTCATCAGCTCTATTTTAGAACTTGGCATAAAAATATCTTCCTTTATCATTATCAGTAGCAGGCGCCAAGTTCCCATAAATCAACTGCACCTTCATATTGCAAGGACCATTTAATCACCTCAACCTCAGAAGTTTATAGCTCAACACCAACATATGCATCTAAAAATAAATCCTCAAATATAAAATCACCGAACTGGAACTTAATAGGGTTAATCTTATAGTACCGGAGAATTCTATGCTAAAATTAGATTCGTTTGCAAAGATTCATGAACTATTCGGTTACAATAGAGGTTCTATGAAAGAACGATTGGGTTTACAAGAGGTCATATGCTCGATACCTCGATCTGTTTTACCACCTAAGAAGAGCTTTCAATGGTTCCCAGAAATGTCCATAAACCAAAGTAATTTGGGGAGGCCTGTCTAGTATTTAACAATCCCAACTCAAAACCTGAGTGTTCCTCCAAAGCAGACTGAAGTAAAATTCGGCCTTTTAAAGGCTAACAGGCTAAACTCCATGAATTTGGTTTTAAGAACCTTTGAGGTAGAAGTTTAATACTATAACACTATTCCCTGGCTTGATAAAATCCACACATGTTTATCACGGCTACTCCACAGAAGGTCTTGAGTTCATACAAACCTACAGTAATTAACTGAACAACAACAACAATAATCAAAATACTACAGTACTGGTATAAAGATTAGATCACTGAAATAGGCTAGAGAGACCAGAAATGGCCCCACATACTTTTGAAGGTGGCAGGCATGCTCATTATCTTATTGTGGGGATGATGGTTTCATGAATGTACACATATGTCAAAACTTCTCGAACGGCATACTTTATGTGCAGCTGGGACTTCCCTGGTAGCCCAGTAGGTAAGACTCCACACGCTCAATGCAGGGGGCCCGGGTTGGGAACGAGACCCTGCATGCCAAAACTGAGATCCTGCCTGTGGCAACTAAGACCTACCACAGGCAAATAAATAAATAGATGCAGCTTATTTTATGTCAATTATACCTCAAGAGAGCTATTTTGTTTGATGTCGCTCTTATTTTTCCAATGTCCTGTCTATTTTGTGGCCAATTGTTCTTGATTGACAGCAGTACTTATTCTTGTTTCCCTGTATTCCTAAACTCATAGACAACTTTATGCCATGTCCCTTATAACCTTGCTATAGATGGCACCAATGTACACCACCCCAGGGGTTACTCATGGTTGGTTTAAGCCCATTGTAGTAAAACTGTTTCTCTTTGCTTTCTCAGCTTCCCTTGCAGCTTGGGGTGACCATGTGACCCAATTCTGGCCTCTATAAAGTGTAAGGGATGCCTTTTGGGGATTTCTGGGATATAGTTCTCTCCTGGATGAAAGTTGTCTTGCTTTACAGCCCCTCCTGCCTCAGACATGATGATTGGTGCTACAGAAGCTATCTTGCTACCAAGAGACAAAAATCTACAGATGTGAAAAGGTCATAGGCTGAGGAAAACATAAAGAAAATAAAGACCTGGCTCCTTGACATTGTTGAGATCCTGCACCAAAAGTTGCTTCTAAAACTTCAAGAAGCATAGGAATGACCTGGGAACTCTTGTTAAAATGCAGCTTCTAATTCAGTAGGTCTGAGGTGGGCCTGAGAGTCTCTAGTTAGAACAAGTTCCCAGGTGATGCAGATCACAACGTGAATAACAAGATTCTATACTTCTTATACTGTGAATAATAAACATGGCTTTATTTTATTAAGCCACCATTAGAATCCTCTTATTTCTAGCTGAAAGCTTTCCTAATTCATACTGATTGATTGGGGACCTTCATTCTGTTGTATTTTCATAGAAAAGGAGAGGGCTTCCTTGGTGGTCCAGTGGTTGAGACCACTTTGCAATTCAGGGAACACGTGTTCAATCCTGGTCTGGGAAGATCCCACATGCTGCAGGGCAGCTAAGCCTGTGGGCCACAACTCCTGAAGACCATGCACCTAGAGTCTGCAACCAGAAAGTAACCCCTGCTCACTGCAACTAGAGAAAACCCATGCATGGCAAAAAAGACCCAGTATAGCCAAAAATAGATAGATAACTTTAAAAAAAAAAAAAGGAGAAACATTTCTGAGTAGAACTTTTGTTTAATCTATCCAATCCCAAAGCTCTGTGACACTGGCATATAATTCTGAGGACTAAACCAACTCACAGAAGGCCAACCAAGATCAGAGGACATTTCCTACTTAGTCATTCAATCAGCCTTTCATTCAGTCATTCAAATATGATCAAGCACACAGCTGATGCAAGACACCGTGCTAAGCACTGGATACTCAGGAGAAGAAACACAGACTCCGCTTGCTCAGAATCGTGCCATTACAAGAGAAGGTGGTGAGGATAAGAGAAGGGCTGGCTTACAGTCTTCACGTCGTTGGTACCAATGATTCCTCCTATCTCCCCCAAATCCTTCAACAGCAGATTCAGGATCTCGGTGGCCCTTTTCTTCTGATGATTGCTAAGCTCCTGCAGTTGGCTCAGTTCTCTCTGCGTGGTTGTCAGTGTAGTCTGAAATACACATTTTAACAACAGATTTAAAAGGCCACCCATCAATTTCATACACACAGCATCATCAAGAAAACATCATGTAGGGTAGAATTCTTTTATCCTTTCATGTAATTTCAACAGGAGTCCTTTTAAGCCAAACTATGGTATACCTCTGCATTCTCTGATAAGAAGAGGAAGTTGTCTTGGCCTGATATGTCATTTGTCTGCATATCAGATGATAATTTCCAGGTCAGTGGAATAAGTTATTAAAAATAAATAAAGCTCAAAAGGAGTCCTTATGTTTATAATGTGTAATCACATCTAATCCTACCTACCAGATGTTCTGTTTCAGTCCACATTCTTCAGGATATAAACATACCTGCAAATGTCTCCACCTCCACTTCCAAACAAACCTGCTCCCTGGGACCATTTCCAAATTCCCATCTGACTTCATAACAGATGGGTCTGGAAGGCCCAAAGGGACATTAATGAGTTTAGAGAACAACCAAGAAAAAGTCTTTCCATCTTCACAGTGAACCAGAATTGGACACTCTTCATCACATTTCAAATTTAGTCTGGTTCAACAGGAGATGGTTTCTAAATATACATACCAGAAGCCCCATTTTACTACCAAACATTAACAAATTCATCCCTTTCCCATTCTTCATGGACACTACCAATATGTATATATTTTTAACTACCTAACTTAACAAACTCTCAACATCAACAAATTTGCCATCTTTTGGTTTCTTGGTATTAACTCAGCCAAAAGAGAAAATAATCTGCATAAATTATGGAACTGTAAAGGTTAATGCAAAGACATTTATGTAATTCTTCCATATGCAACTATTTTACTCAAGTATTTCTTAATAATCAAACTAAAAATAGTACTCTAAACTAGTCTAGTAGTACTTTGGTCTGACAGAAAATAAAACTGGTATCATGGAAACCGTTTCATTGTTTTGGGAAGCAAATATACCACAGACTAGTGAAAAAATCTTGCAGAAAACAGTAAGCCCTGAAAAATCTAGTCTCCTTCTTTCCTAAGTAACTTCTGCTTTGTTTTTCTATTTTTCATTTTTGTTTTTATTTAGGCATTCCCACTGCTTATTTCATTTTGTTTTCAAAATCCACAGAAGCAGTAGTTCCTATCTTGGGAAACATTAAAAAGCCTTCCTACATGCAGCTGAATGTATGGAATAAGCAGCGTTTTCCATCCGCAGCATCTACGGTCAACAGATCGGCACTTTCCTGCACCATCTGCTACTTCCCCTTGCTGGGAGGATGGTGGTTTTCCACCAAGCAGGCTGGGCACAATCCCATGATACCAGGCCATTGGACTGAGGTGCCAAGGGCAGCTGGTTACAGCCACTCGGCTGCCCACCACCCATCTTCCAAGTAGAAAAAGCGAAAATGGACATGTTCCACCAGCAGCCACCTCACCAAATGCTCACTGGCCCTCTGCCACTAGCTCTCTGTGCAGAACCAGCAGCATCTCTCGCTGGGAGCCTGAAAATTAGGAACCATGCAGATCGAAGCACTTGCTGAAAAACAGGACAACAGACAAACCAGGACTGCTAGTCCTAGGCGAGGACAAGCAGCACTGGGGAAGGAATGGGCTGCATTCAGGAAGGTGTAAACAGGAAGACTGAACTCCATGCCTTGCACGCTCCCCTGTCAATACAACATTTGGGGATTTATTTGCTGATACTGTAGCATATGCACAGGTAAACGCTAAGTGCTTTATGTCAACTGTCACTAATTCCCATGCCCTGAAAGAACGTTATCATCACCATTTTTACAAATAAGCAAATGAACACTAAAGTGTTAAATGTCTCGACTAAGGCTTAATGGTTGTAAAGTCAGATTTCTAACTAGGATTTTTCTGGCTCCAAAGTCTGCACTTTCTTGAGTATCCTACAAGGCATCACTTCTAGTGTTATAAATCCCCTAGATGCAAAACAGACCTGACATGAAGATCTGGGGCAAGTGGACAAGTCACTTACACAAACTATTTCAGTTATTGGAGGATTTCAAAGAATGCATTTGTGCCTAACACTGAAAAACCACTCAGCCAACTGCCACACTTTGTAGTGTCTTGTCAGTAAATGTCAATAAAAGTACAGGAAGGGCACCCAAGGAAGTCCCGCCCCCACACACAAATGCTCCAACCGTTTTCTGGGCCAGCTCGTCTGTCAGCTGCTCATTGGCCCTGGTCTTGTCCTCCACTTCCTGTGACTTCTGGTCGTAATTGACAGCCAGCTCCTCCAGAGCTTGGAGAACTTCTTTCACCTCATCTTTGGCTGCCTCATTTTCAATCTGGAGACGTGTCAGCTCCTCCTGAATCTTCTCATAGTCTCTTCTCGTGGAAGCTAAAAGCTGGGGAAATTAGATGGTATGGAATTGGTGACTCTAATGTTCAAAGGTTTATGTTCAGTGCTCTACCCAAAGATTAGAGAAAATAAGTTGAAAAAGCTCAGGATAACTGGAAACCATACTATATATCCATATGCTAAATGAAAAAACAGCATGTTGTCTTGAAAATATGTTTCTCTTTCTGTTTCTTTCTTATTTAAAGCTGCATAAGCTTAATTCCAAGAACTGATTACAGATCAAGAATCACCACACTTTCTAGCTGACTGGCTATTCCACATGTTGAACAAAGGATGAGGAGGAGTAATTTCCAAGGATATAATAATACTTACATGGCTTTTTACTATCATCATTTTTTTCACCTTGTAAACTGGTCGATTTCAGAGTCAATCAAAACAGTATAAAAGAGCAGTCCCTAATTTTTCTTAATATTCATCATCGACTACAGAATTCGCCCCCCACATTAACACTAGTAAAACGTGAATGACTGACCTTATGGATACTTTCATTACTTTTGTGCTTACTGTATTTTCTGATTTGCCAATAGTGAATAGATGCTGTCTTGACAGTATAGAAAAATAGTAAGAGTCTTCACGGTAACAAAAAGGAGAGCTTATCACAGCAGTTGTACCAAGTTGGAGATGCACAGCAATAGAATGAGAGGGAGAGCGCAGGAAACACTAAACAAATGGGAGACTCAACTGTAGTTAAGAGGAAAATCAATTAAATATGGTTCCTGCCAAGAGAAATGTTTGCACAGAGGGCATAATCACTGTTCTAAAGAGATGAAGGGCAACAAAGAGGAAGAGAAGAAAATGGTGAGAGAGTGTGTTACGTCTATGAGAGGGGTGGGACTGGGGCCATGAACCATAGCCACTTGCTATAACTGTATCATATGAGCCAATCCATAGCATTTTAGCAACAAAGCAGAAAACACCCTAAAGCACAAAAGAGAAAACATACTTAGGCCCTCAGCAAGGGAATTACGAACCCTCTGTATTTGATAGATTGGCGAGCTGTTCTTTGCTTCGGTTCCTGTTTGCAAAATACTTGGCAAAAATACAACATAATAAAGACATCTACTAGAGAACTGAGTGCCATCCAGGGAGAGACTGAAAAAAATTTGCCTCCTTGTAAGTGTATCACATATATACTAACAGCGCTTGGACCCCTATCTTCTGTGCTTTCCTCTTCTCTACATTCTATATTTGTTCTTTGAGTATTTTTTTTTCCCTACAAGACAGCACAAGAACATGGTGTATATCAAAGACCTGAGTTACCTGATTTGCAAAGCTGAGAAAAGGCTGAAATGGAATGAACCAGGAGTGTTGGGCCCTGGGTATGAGGAAGCAGGATCATCCTCACCCCACTACCAAGCTCCTCTGTCTCTGCTTGTCATAGATTGTGTACCAACCAGTTACTTACTCTCAAAACCCTAGAGCTCTACCAAGTCAGACATTTATTTTCTAAATTCAGCTAAAATCAGCTTTTAGCAGCCACTGAAAGGAAGTCTACCAAGAATTTTCCACGATTCAGTGATTTAAAAAAAAAAAATTTCTTTGCATATTAAATTTTTGGAATAGCCACAACAGACAGTCATAAAAGAACTTTGAAAAAAAAAATTTATTGCATTCTTTACCTCATCCTGATCCAACATCTGTTGCTTTAGCTTTTCAGCCAGCTGGCTCTGTTGGTTAATTTCATCATCCTGAAACGAAACATCATGTTTAATTTTTTGTGGTTAGTTATGTCAGTTTTGATAGCCTCGTTTCTCAATGGATGGCAGTCAGATACCAGGATGCCAGCTGTAAGCTTGCTAATAAGATGAAGCAAATGGTGTGGTGCCTCCTCACAGATGAGAGACTGGATCAAATACCACATCACCCACCTTTCTCAGCCGATGAAACATTTAGATATTCTGAGAAAATCAATATCCTCCACATTCAACTTAATTCCTTCTCATCCAGAAATCAGCGATGTAGGGCTTGGAAACTGAAAGGGACTTTGAGTTATCCCTTTCAACTCAAAGATGTTAACAGTGAATTCCTAGCTCAAAAAATTATTGAGTGAATCTCTAACCACTGTACATGTCCCAAACCTCGTCAAACACATCCGTGGGGGGGAGCACTGCCATGCGACAGCTGAAAGAGATCAGTATTTCCACTTCAAACCTCTTACTTAGACTAGGAAACATTTACTAGAGAATTCCTCTTTGGCATTAGAGAGCTGCCTTTGATTAGGAGCTAAATTTCTTACCAGTCTGAAAAAACCTCAAGGAAGCTGGCATGTAGAAACATGATTGTTTCTGGTGTGTCACTGAAGTGGGAAAGGATCTCCCCACAGACTAATTCACTCTTCTTGCTCTCAGCTTCTGCCACTAGGTGTTGCTGCCACAAAAGCCAGAGCTACCGCCTCCCACGGCCCAGCGTTAAGCATCTCTGCCTCTCCCCTCCCCCTAGATGTGGTCCAAAGCGGCAGCCGGCCAGCGCCTAACTGCATGAGATTCAATCTTGGTTACAAAGGTTTTCATGAGTTCAAAGGAAATTGTGAAGCGTAGCCTGTGCAGAAAGACAACGCGGCTTCCCACATGCCTCTCCCTTAGGAGCAAGAGAACATCCTGTGTGATGACGCTTTTGGGGTCTAAACTCCAAGCAGCGTTCAGTCCAGCTCAGCGCTCCTCTCTGTGCCAGGAGCTGCCCAGGCATTCCCACCAGCAGCCCTCAGACGCCTACTGTGCCGCGCTTTCCTCCTTTTCCAGAGTGGGGGTCAGAGGGTAAATTCCAGGGCCTGGGGTGCAGGACCTCAGTTTTCCCCAGGATACTCTCCTGCCTGTTCACTTGTCTCAGTTCATCCACTTAAATCAGGTTAACCAGCATCACAGCCATGATGCTTTCCATCACAGCTCCGTGATGCTTTCCACGGAGCAAGAAGATTCTCACATTAATATTAGGAGATCTGGGTCTCCTTTTCCTTTGTGTAGAACATCTTTTGGGCTTATTTCTCTGTTCAGGGAGATCATGTTCCTACTGAACTTTTTAACACTAACTCAAATATTTTATATGTAGGAAAATTGAAATGCCAGAATATTTTCTGCAAAGTGCTTAGAAATCTATTAGCCATGGACTAGATCTTAACAGCTGGCCTCAGGCCTGTGTCAACAGATTCTAAGAGATGCACTTGAATGTATAGATACGGACTCCACAGCACATCTTATCCCAAAGTTTTGAAAATGTTTTTACAAGTTAAAAACTCTTTAATGGTTCTAAAAAATACTCATGGCTTTCCTCTTGAAGTCAGATTTCTGGCAGGAGAATTAGGGAAATTATACCAGAGTAAGTGAAATCTCTCAAAAAAAAAAAATTATTTCCCAACTAGAAGACTATTATGTTGGACATATTTTCTCTTCTACTATATAAACTTAGAATGTCAGTTACCAGGAACAGTTTTAGTGTTTATGTTCCTCAGCGCACAAATATTAAACAACTTAACATAAAAGACTCAGGAAGTTTAACATGGAAGAGCCGCCACCTCTTCCCCTGGGACGTATAAGCAATGGCTACAAGTGATATAAATCACGAGAGAAACAGAATAGTTGTACAAGCGCTTTGTTCTTATACTGTGTTCATTTCAAAGCCTGAGGACGTGGGCTTGCTCCTGATGGGTGATGAGCTGGGAGACGGTTATTTCTGAGGTACCATGAGAAATCAAGGGCCCTTAGCCTGTCTGGAAAGGATGACGACCAAGGATTACATTATAACAACATGAATCGCTTATGTCAGAGACATTTCCAAACCTACACTTACCCTTCCTTAAGAAGGAATTAGCATAGTCTGTTGTGATTTTTTTTTAATTTTCAAAATTTTCAGAGGAAGATGTGCTGTGCAGTCCATATCTATACATTCAAGAGCATCTTTTAGAATATGTTTAAACATGCTCACTCTGATGCCAACTGCTAAGATCTGGTCTGTGGATAATGGATTAGCAGGCACTTTTCAGAAAATATTCTGGTATTTGAAATAAGTGAGCTGTCAATAGATTACTGGTCAGTCACCCTTAATGGTAAAGATGTTTTTGTTGCAACGGTACTCAGTGAAATGATTCGATGAATACCATCAGTTCAACATCTACTTACACTTAAATTCTGCTCCTACATCTCCCACAGTACAGAAGCACTGGAGAGGTGATGGGAAATAAGAGACAGAGCCACCGCCAAACTGCCTGTCTTACAACTGTGCTCTCAGCCCACCTCTGCCCCACCACCCTCTGATACCCCCATCATGTGGCTTCTCCCTTAAACAGAAAGGGAGAAGGTAGAAAAGAAACTAATATTTAGTGAGCATCTGCTATGTCCTAGAGTCGTTTACTCCCCAATGCAACCTTCTGAAGTGACAGATGTGAGCTCCATGTTGCAGATAAGAAAAACAACTTCAGCAGATGGGTCATCAGCCCAGGTCTCAGCACTGCTAAGCCACAGGACTGACTCTAAAGTGCCTGCTTTTCCATCACACAGCACTGCCTTAGAAAAGGACCTGTCCTTCAACCCCTGGAAGGTCAGCACGGAGGGACAGAGGGGGCAGCGGGAAGAAGAGCACATAGAATCTTTCTTCCAGCACATTCTAGACAAATTCATTAGGACTGACAAGCTCATTTTCAAGGGGCAAAGCCAAAATAGGATGAGCACTGGACTGGGAGTCAGAAGATGTGTAAGCTCCTTGTAGCTCTGCTACCACCAGGCAGTATAAGTCATCTAAGCACCCTGGGCTAGCATCTTATCTAAACCTAGATACTTTCAGCCACTAATAATCTATGAAGGTGCCCTGTCCCAACTCATGTATTCTTAAAAGTATCAAACCATCAACATCATCAGAAGCATGAAATAGCTTCTAGAACTTTTAAAAGGTGGACAAATAAAAATGACACCTGGTAAGATATACCCAGGCCATCCATGGGTAGAGATACAAATGGCATAACAAGCTTCGGTATCCCCCCACCAGGCTGAGGCTTTGGGGCTCAAGTCCTTTCCCAAATCTCTCAGCATTGCCCTGCGATGGACCACAAATGCTAATCCCAAAATGTATGCTTACCAGTGTTTTCAAAACACACACTAAAGGAAAGGAATATGACAGAAAATGTCCTAGGCTGGGAATTAGGAGGCAGAGCTCCAGGGTCAGTTCTGCCAGCTAGCAACTGAAAACTGCCAAGGCCTGGCATTGCCTGCATTTCAGACGCCGAATTCAAGACTCTAAAGTTTTCTCAGATCCATGAAAAATTCTCATGTTACCAAGGTAAAAAGATCCCAGTTCCAACCATGTTTAGTTTCTATTCGTAGAGAACAGAGAGCAGAATCAGGTTATCACCCCACATCCAGGATTCTTTGGGGATACTAAAACCAAACCCTTCAATTCTAAATGAGAAAAAAAACTGCAATATGCTTCAACAATAACATTTCTTTGGAGAAACAAAAAAATCCACATAGACTGCTCACTTCCTTATTGATCTCCCTTTTCTCTCACTTTGTTTGAGGTTTTACATAAAATACCTGGGTAGAAAGAGAAGGGTAACAGTATGCCCAGTGCCTAAAAAGTAATTAATCCAGCTCTCACAGCATGAATATCTTATTAAATATGTCACCCGAGGGGTAAGGTGACCCCAGTTTAACACTGTGGTGATAATGCAAACTCCCAGAGCCACAAGCACAACGAGAACCAGCTTCCTTGGGGCAAGCAGTCACATCTCCCTTGTAAAGGTGAGGCCAGACTCTGAGCTTTACTCAGAAGAAAGAGGCTTGTAAGATAAATGACAACATTAACATAACAAAGCTGTTTTATCCAAGCCAGAGGTGTCCCCAAGCACTCTGAGCTGAACCACAGCAGAAAAGATGAAATCAGATTAAAAATATCAGCAACCCAGATGCAATGAACTGAAAGGATTTAGGTATTCCAAGGGCAATATGCCAAGGTCAAGTGAAACATCAATTTAATTTCCTTTGCCTCTGGGATTCCTAACCTGACCTTCACTGGGGATGAGTGAGACAGTGTTCTCCAAGATCTCTCTTCCTTTATTCCAATTTGTGCACTGACGGGATTCTTTGAGTCCCAAAAGTCTGCCAAGAAATCGGACATCCCTAATCAGCATATCCAAACGACTTCATTCAAGGGGATGCCCCTTACTGATGCTGTTACTGGCTCCTCATTCCAGGACCTTCCATGATCAAAGTACACTTGAGTTTTGGGAGCCACCACCTTTGCCCCGAGAGCTGGGACACTGCTGGAATTTCCAAGAGGTGACAGACAAGCCCAGAGAAGAAAAGAAGGGAGAATTAAACAAAGTTCACTCACCCTCCACCCTCATGCTATGATAAAGTCCCATCCAGTTTCTAGATGTGAAGATTCTGTCTACCGAGGTCAGTCTTTCAATCACATTTCCATGAAAGTTTCCATTCCCTGTGAATCCAGTTCCCCCCGTGGCACTAGGGGTACAGAACCCGTCGGCCAATGCAGGAGACATGAGAGATGCTGGTTCAATCCCTGGGTCAGGAATATCCCCTGGAGGAGGGCCTGGCATCCCCACTCTAGTATTCTTGCCTGGAGAATCCCAGGGACAGAGGAGCCTGGTGGGCTACAGTCCATGGGGTCGCAAAGAGTCAGACAGAGGCGACTTAGCACACAGCACAGCCCAATAAAGAGCTAGGGTAAGTATTAGGAAAACAGACAGAAACATCAGTCTTCAGTCTTACATCAGGTTCCATGGGGCTTGAGCTGCTTCCAGCCGGTAAGTCTAGGACCTGCTACCTTTAGCTTTTGTATCAGCGTGAGGTCTATAAACTCTGACCACAGACCTTATCATCCAGTTGTCGGTAGAGACTGGAGATCTCCTCATCATACTTCTCCTTCTCCTCTGCAGAGATGCCGGCGACCACGGGAGCAATGTTGTCTATGATGGGGGTGTTATCACACGGCTCTAGAGTCTTCTGGTCCTTAGCGCTGATCTGCTCATCCTCCGGCACAGCTTCTCCTGCAAAGCGCAGCCAAGAGGAGTTAGGCATTGAAGAAATTTAGCATGCAGCCCTCCAGGAAAAGTTACAAAAATAGTCAACTCCACGAAAAAGACACAAAGGACACGATAAGCAGCTGTTTAAAGTTAATAGTTTGTCGTCTTTCTGTTTGACAAGGAAGGTCATAGTTAATTGACCAAAACGAGTATAAGGAAGATTATGTAACACCCCCTCGCTCCTGATGTAAACTGGCTCCATCAACCATGCAAGCTCTCAACTAATCCAACTTTGCAGCGATACCCAGAATTTTTTGCAAACATTTTTCTTTTGTTGAGGAATATGCTGGGGCTTTACTAGAATCATGTTCTCTTTGATGATGGATTCAAAGGGAAGCAGACCTCTGAGGCACTCTAATTACAATTAATTAGGTTACTGTTTCGTTAACAGCAACAGCCAATCAAGGAACAAATTCACCATTGTTAATAGAACACTGTAGGGCCCAAATAGTCACGCTTTGAGAATCCCTGACTCTGAAGGAGGAAGTTGGGGTGGCCCTAGGACCCAGGAACTCTGACTGACGTTACACACACACACACACACACACACACATTTCCACTACCACTCTCTCCCCGAGGAAGTCAGAATTAATTGGCGGACTGGAGAGTTCAAATAGAATAATTTCCTATGATGTCAGGTAGTCCCAGGAAAGAAAAAGCAGCCCACCAAGAATATTGTGCAGACTCCTCCCTGCGTCTCGGTCTGAAGAGGAGCAGTGTCGGCGCCTTAGAAGGAAACAGTACCAAATGTGACCATGCAAACTGGGGGAAAGGGGGAAGTTCTTAAACTGGCTGAGAGCTATCCCCAACAAGAAAACTACCTGGCAAAGACAGACTGCAAAAAAGGAGTCTATGGAAACCATGTGGCTCAACTGTCTCTCTTAAATATCTACTTGGAAAGCAAACCAAAACCAAACATACTTTTCCCTTACAATGTTTACCATCAGCTTCACACTCAATTTGCTACAATCAGTGAGTGTCTGCAACATCCCAGGCCTCCCCCAGTTCTCAGCCCGTAAAATGCATTCTGTGGAAATAAACTGTCCCGAGCCAGAGGGAATTTCTCAAAGAAAAAACAACAACAAAAGGCACTCAAAGACAAATGACAAAACTTAACTCCTAATCCGTGGCTTCATGAACAGTATATATCACATCTCAAGAAACCCCCCTGAACACTGACTGTGTACATTTATCTCAATATAAACAAAGCACTTTGTGATGGGTTAGCTTTATTGCTTAAGACTCCGTTATCTCACTCGATAATCACAAAATGGTACCAGAGGCCTCCACGTCAAACAAAATTAACACTCAATGATTTCACCTTGATATCACAGTTCCATTTGAAGCAGCAACTTGAAGCAAAACCTGGAATAAATTATTACTTTGCTGAATATAAAACTGAGCCAACTGTTTTTTCTTCTAAAGCTCAACCAGACTGTACTGTACCTAAGCCCTTTTCTAAAATTATTGACCTGAAACAAAACCAGAATATCAGAGTAGCCTTTGAACTGAACCTGAACCAAATCAATATTTCATTCAGTTCCAATTCTTGGTTTAAAGCATCCATCAGCAACCTTAGTATGCAGACTGGATTTCATCCAATTAAAGCACCTATATTCTCTATAGCCTGCTAAGTCCAAGGGCTATAAAAGCTGTACAGTGTTCTATTTAGTTCCCAAGTTTTTTTTTTCTGTTTGTTTAAAACATTATAAATATAAAATTATAAAAATATATGTGTGTCTTTTTCTAACCATAGAGTATATATTAAAATTTGAAAGCCCTCTTTCACTTCCACCTCCCAACTCTGTTCCTTCTTAGAGAATTTCACCATTAACACTTTGTATATGTCCTTCTCCCACTTGGATTATGACTGTACATCTAATTTTTCAGTTCCAGCTTCTGAAACTTATGAACAGGGCAACCCAGTGCAGTATGAATTGATCTTCCAGTTAAATCTTAATAAAGAGGAAATTCTTAATTGCACTGGACCAGAAAGCAGGCAGAATATAGTCATACTATCCACAGGCCAGGCCAGCCCAAGTCCAGAGGTATGATATAAAAACATCTAAAAGAGACATCCGAAACCCTGTGTTCTGTGGTGCCAAATGCCCAGAGAGGCAGTGACATTGTGAGACTGGGGACAGCTAAGGAGTTGCCTGGGGCTTGCCTGGTGGCTCAGATGGTAAAGAATCTGCCTTCAATGCAGGGCACTCAACTTCTACCCCTGGGTCAGGAAGATCCCCCGGAGAAAGGAATAGCTACCCACTCCAATATTCTTGCCTGGAGAATTTCACGAACAAGGGATCCTGGTGGGCTACAGTCCCATAGAGTCAGACACAACTGAATGACTCACTTTTTTTGTTTCCAAGGAGTTATCTGGTGCATATTTCCATGTGTTTGGTGGGAGGAGGAGTCAGGGATGAACCCCACAACTTAGCAGTGGGTGACCTGCTGTAACCAAAAGCCACAGGCATGACTACCCCTAAAGCTGCCCTCTTCTTGCACTGAAAAATTGTAGCATCACAAAGTACAACCACGGTTGTTCCAGACTAGACAGGTTCAACAAGCCAGTCAACACGGCTCTGAGAGGCACCTGAAGTGACCAAGAGATGCTATACACACATGGTCAGGGCCATAGTGGGACACTCGGCCACCTGCACCTTCCACAGATTCAGCTAATCACAAGCCATCTCCCACTTCACTTCTTGCTGTGTTTTTTGTAAAGGCAAGGAAACACCAATGCTTTGAAAACAGCATTGTTCTAAAGATTAATTAAAACAGTGTGTGTAAAAAACACAAAAATCCATTTCTTATCCCCTCCACTCCCTGACCAAGTATCAACGTTTTAGGTTTTGTACATAAAATATTATTTTTACTTATTCTGAGATTAGTGTCTCTGGGGTCCTGACAATACCTTTAGTGGTTAGAGCTCAGTTCCCAAAATAAAATACAGTAAAGCCACGAGAGTGCCTTTCAGGTTTATTTTTATTATGAAAACAACATTTGAAACCTATAGCAGGCCTTCTGGTTTCCCTTGAACAACTCTCTCAATCAAAGCGTCAACATGTCCCCCACAAAGCTACATCTGAACAGCGAGCCCATCCCAGTTTTTATTCTAAAGGTCAGGCAGTCAAGATTATTTTTTGCAGCAGTCTTTCAGGCCGAGAAGAACAAAGCAGCAACATGCAGCAACAAAAGCAGCGGGTGTCTGCCGGGGAGAGCACAGCTCCTGCCCAGGAAGGAATCAAGAGCCAGTTTTCCCAAACACCGCTGCCCTTCAAAGGACCCAGAAAATGACTTCCAGAAGCGTCCCTAGTAACTACACCGTCCAGCTCACAAACACGTCTGGGGATTGTAAATTCCCAACCCGCGGCAGGACCCGACACCAGGCAATCTGTCTCCATGGCAATCTCACGGCATTAATGGAGAATATTCCCTGCACTGCAGTGGACCGGGTCTCCAGAGAAGCCCCCACCAGGTGATTACAGAATAACCAATCATAATGTGGAAGACAGCTGCAAACAAACCCTGGAGAAATAATGCCCTGAAATCTGGTGGTAGGAGAAGGGAAAGGACCACAAACGAAGATCAGTATCTATTTTTATTTTTACTCTCCTTTATGTGAAAAGCAAATTTCTCTTAGTTTATCCCTTCAGGATTTATACTTGCTGTCTATAGAGAAAGGGCGTGTAATATTGTAAAGCATCTTAATTTTTAGAATGAAAGGTTCCCCCCAACCCCCACCTCAAGAAAAGATTTCCTTCTTTACATAAGCATTCTGGCATTTCCTATTGTCAGATGTAATTACCTTTAAGGACTAAAAAAATTTGTGTGTACACAGGAGTGTTCAGTTGGAGCACACCTATAAGGTTTACAGAGCATTTTAATTATAAAATCAAAACCCCCAGAGGGCATAAATAACATTTCCACAAAAAATAGAAATCCATCGATTGCAATAAATAAGAATGACAGACTAATCAAAAATTCTTGTTAGCACTATTAGTTAAAAAATTCTAAAACAGGAGTTTTGGGTTTTTGTTAAAAAAATAAAATAAAAAAAGATAGAAAACCATTAGACTGCCAGTAATTCATTAAAATTTCACACATGAAGTAGCAACAAGCTAGTTATCCTTTTCATAAGTCAAGCCCCTAAAGCCTCTGGAGAATATAGTAAGGTAATTGCCTTCTCTCTGCAACTCCAGGGCATAGATTGGCTGGTCATTCACAGCTTCCACCAGAAACCAGATCAGATCTGGCAAAGGAGGTGCTTTCTTTTAATACCAATTAAACAGGCCCAGTGGCAGACCTAATGGCAGGTAATTTCTATATCAAAGAAATGAAAAAGGAAATCTTTTAAGTTGCCAGATGGGTGAGAGCAGCAGGATACAAGATGTCATTATATAAATGTAAGGTTTAAAAAAAAAAAACTCATTTCTTTATGGGATTATTTTGTACACACGTAGCATCTCTTACCCTAGCTGCTCGAAATACTGTAAGAAGCTTAAGACATTCTCTCATCCCTTCTACAGTAATTTTCTAATAAACTGGTCACCCAGGAGTTAGCATCTGCTTTACATTCTTTTTACACAGGCCACACAATTCTCCTAGCAGTCAGGATTTCTACAAGTGTTTGGTTGTCTCTTGAAAGAAGGAAGAGAGCCTAACAAACTAGATCTCTCAAATGAAATACTAACTTCTGAATTTTTACAATAATCAGAAATCCAAGGAGGAGCACATCTTCTAAATATTTAATGCCACAAGAGCAAACTGTGTTCTAACTACAGAGCCCGCACAGTTCCACAAAGCACCCACCAGCCTCAAGGTTACATTTTTAGCTACTTAGGGAACCAAGGCTGCTGTCCTGGCAGGTTTTAAATCTGGAGAACCAATCTGCTTTAGAGATTGCTGATTTCTCCACACCTTTTCAGCCTGTGATGAAATAATTTCTTTGCATGACTATATCC